TTGAATAGTTTTATGCACTTGAGATGTATGAAAATGCACCAAGCGAATTTGTTGTCTATTTTGTAACTCATAAATAATCGTTACTGTCAAGTACATGTAGTTTGGAAATTTCAGTACAATTTTGATCAAATCTTTTTGTGTTTGAATTATGTAACTTTTCCGCTTTTAAAGAATTTGATGAATAAATAATTCAGATATGATATTTAATGCTATTTTCAACGCCTTCATCTGATATTTTGAAAATTTAGTCACCGAGTAGGACGAGGAATATTTTGATATTTTCAAAATGATGAAAATATTTCTTATATAAAATTCATGGATATAATTCAGAGCCTAGTACTTATTTTTGTATTCTTATTCAAAAATTTAAATAATTGGTTTAATTAATAAAACATACTATGGAATAATTGCTATCTATCTTAAGTTTAGAATACAAATAGCTTCTTATTCAATAATATGTAGAGTGCATATATGTGTTAATTCGGAGTAGATAATTTGAAGATTAGAAGATAGCTGTTAACGCTACTTTAATACGTAGATTCGCAAGATAGCATAACGAAGACAGACTTCACCAAAAAAACACATTAATTTTTTCATAAACATTGTTTTTTCATAAACATTTCATAAAAATTTCATAAACATTTTCAAAACATCATTTTCATAAACATTTCATAAAAATTTCATAAACATTTTCAAAACATCATTTTCATAAACATTTCATTTATGAAACATTGTTTCATAAACACTCAGAATCATGTGAAAACATAAACGTTTTCACATAATTCTGAGTGCGATACGCACGCTCCACACTTTTATAACACGGATCACATCATTACACAATGGTGGAAGCATAGAAATGTGTAACACACTATCAGATATTTCTCCCGTCTTCTTAGCATGCCTTAGTAGTGCAATGGTCTGCACGCTGGCGCGTATTCCAGAGGTACGTGGTTCGATTCCCGGTGAAGTCGTTGCTCATTTTTCATCTCTCCTGCTTCGAAATTACCTAATGTCTCTACAACACATTTGCATAGCCAGAAACGAGCACACTTATCGTCTGGGTTTGGAAATGATTACTTGTTCAAAATACACAGTTTCATATCGGAAGTGAACATGGCAAGACGCTTCAAGCTGACAGCATGTTGTATTAGAAATTTAACTATTTACCGTTTTATAGATAGTTAAAGAAAAAATATCCAAAGAAATAAGTATTTGATATAAAGCATTCAACTGCCCGTGGTGTATGGAAACGACAGAAACTGCCTAGAACTGCCTGCTCACAATGCATTAAAGTCTGGACTGAATTTCAAGCCAAGACCAAGGTACTGGAGATTCATCTCACGAAAAATCAAACAAAATCCAAACATTTGTAATGTAAAAAATGTAATGGATTTAGAAGAAAGATTTGCAATAAAAGTTAATCGTGAAACTGTCAGGAGAATCAATAGAGCAAGCGGCAAGAACTGGCGATCCGCAACAAAGGAATTCTTTGTGAACGAAAAAAAGGGGGGAAATGCACCTGGCTTTCTCAGTAAGCACAGATTTATCATATTGAAACAATATATTTGGAGACGAGTCAAAATTTAATATATTTAGGCCCGATGTATGAACTGCTGTGTAGGAAATGACGAATTAAAAAGTGAAACAAAAAAAAAAAAAAAAAAAAAAAAAAAAAAAAAAAAAAAAAAAAACCTATTGCCAACTGTTAAACAAGAATGTAGAGGAATAATGATTTTGATTTTGAATAATGTTTGGTTGCCTCTGGAATTAATTTTCATAGAAAATAATTTGGATCAATGTAAACAGGTAAATATTCATAATGAAAACCTGAAGGCTTCTGCAAGAATACATAGAATGCAAAATACATTGAAGTTCTATCTGGAAATACTAAATCTTCGCTTTTAATTATTATACAATTATCCCTAAATCCCTTCATATTCTCCAGACTTAAATTTTGTCGAACATATTTGGAGTGAGTTGGAGAAAAGAATAAGGAAAGATAAGAGCTCTAGTAAAAGTAGTTATTACGGAAGAATGGAGAAAAATAAACATTCTTACTCGAAAAAAGTAGTTAAACCCATACCAGAGCAACTGAAAAGTGAGATTTTAGCTAAAGGATATTTAATGAAGTAGTAAATGCCCCATTACTTTCTTGTTTTAATTAAATATAAACTGGGTTCTCAGTTTCAGAACTTTTGAATATACTATTTTATTAATAACTTTTGTCAAAACAAGCATTTTTTTTTTAAAAAAAGGTTATCAATAATATACGTGAGAGAAAAATATGTATATTTGTAAAGAGCGACTTACAAAATAGCAGGAACTTTGTAAGTTAAAAATGATCTTGTAAAATGGAACAGAAAGTCTCCAAAATTAGCGATGCTTTTTGCTGAAATATTTTCTTGTAATAATCTCTGTTTTTAAATAATGAAGGATCTGTATATATGTATGTATATTTCTCTCGATCTAGAAAAATGGCGGCACCCACAGCCACCAGATCTTGAGCACACACGTAGTCCTTCAGCCCGACACCTGCACCTCAAAAGCATGACTTTTGAGTTTTGAATTTATTTTTTTATTTATTTTATGTTTACTGCGAACTTGATGAAATTTTGATTAGCAAACTCAGCGATTTAAAATCAATGTGTTGATACTCGACAAAGCGTAAGATATTTGTCTTTTAAATTTCAAAAAGAGACTCGGCAATTTGAAAGAAATATGTTGTCACTGCCGAAATAAAACATCTTTAGCCTTCATGCGCCAGTGCGTTGCCATTCAGGAAAACGTAAGATATTTAATTTTATTTCAAATTTAACCTGTCTCTTATTGATTAACATATTAAGCTATTTAAAAATAATAAACGCAATTATTCGTCTTTATTAGGAAAAATACAAAATCAAATATGAATTAGCCTAATTCAGACTTACTGGGAGATGAAGTTAGCAAAGATGTTAGATGATCGCTTTATGTCAACTTCAAGTAATCCCATAATCAAAGCTCACAGGTGTTTAGGTCTAGAGACCTATACGATTATTCATTCTGAAACTGATGTCTTACTATAGCTAAAAGACATAATATAAGACAGCTAAAAGTCATAATATTCCTCAAAACGTCATTTTTAGTTTCGTGCACTTCAGTAATACTTTTGTCAGCATGCGTCTTCAATTTATTGAAATGTAACTTTTTAAACGTTTACTGAGTTCTGATTATCTTGTATATTTGCTTATTTAATTTACACTCATGTCCATAAATTAAGGATAATTCGGAGTCACGCAGAAATCGAACTCTAAAATAAATATATCACCTGTAAAATCACTACACACATCTTCAAGAATCATATGCAAATTTCAGGAAGTAACCAGATGACATCGATGGTACGTCTGACGAGAGTGTAAGAGAGTGATCTATAAGGAATACCGGCAAAGAAGTAAAATTGTTCGCAGGCGCTTTATAAGCATTGCAGTGCAATAACCGAATAGTTATGATACAAAGGACGCATTTGGATGATTTTTTACGTGGTAGAATTATCGGCCGTTCTGAATGTGGGCGTACCCAACTGGAAGTATCAGACGAACACGGAATTGCCCAGAGTGTCATCTCCAGGCTTTGGCAACGATTCCAAGATGATGGTAATGTGAGTAGACGTTACAGCACAGGTCGCCCCAGAATTACAACGCCGAATGAGGACCGATATTTGGCAGTTACTGCCAAATGAAACATGCGGAGCACAGCCTCAGACCTGTTCGTCAGCTCTCTTCAGCCACTGGTACGACAATTTGAAGGCAGACCGTGTACAGACGCTTAGGGCAGATTGGTCTATATGCTCGTAGACCTGTCAGATGCGTTCCACTTACTGCAACTCACTGTCGCCTGCGGTTAGCCTGGAGTAGAGAGCATGCATTGTGGACACCGCAACAGTGGGCTTGTGTGATGTTTTCCGACGAGTCCAGGTTTAGCTTGCAGTCTGATTCTCGCCGGACTTTCATATGGAGAGCTCCTGGTACCCATTACCACCAAGAAAACATCATTAAACGACACCGTTACGGTTATGCAGGAGTGCTCGTTTGGGGTGGAACTATTCTGGGTTCCAGAAGTGACTTGCATGTTCAAATCGGAACCATGACAAGCCAAATCTATCGGGACGTCATTCTGAAACAATATGTACGTTTGTTTCGGGGCGCCATGGGCGCACAATTTGGGTTTATGGATGACAACATCCATCCTCACCGTGCAAACATCGTAAGCGAATGCCTTCAATCGGAGGATATCACCCGTATGGACTGGCCAGCATTCTTACCGGACTTGAATCTAGTAGAGCACGTGTGGGACATGCTTGGCCGACGAGTTGCAGCCCGTCAACCTCCTCCTACATGTCTACCGGAACTTCGGAAAGCATTGCTTTTTGAATGGTGTAATATCCTCCAAGATCAGATCGATAATTTGATACTCAGCATGCCTAGGCTTTGTACGACTGTATTGCATCGTCTGGGAGACATACAATGTATTAACAATCATACCAACCATGTAATATTGGTTTTTTGTAAATAGGTGTTTTTCGTAATTTGCTCCAGGGAGAAAAAATCGCTAATTTTTTTAATAATATCAAACATATAGCATCTTTTTTTGCTCTTTACCTTTTGTTTAATAAATAAGCTTTACAAATAAGTCAAATTTGTTTTGCCTATAACTCTTCCTTTGCCTGATTTTGCATTATCCTTAATTTATGGACATGAGTGTACTTACTATCTTTTATGAAGGACATGAGTAACTGCTTTGAGTTGAGAAACAAACGTCCAGAATAGACATCAAAATACCACAATTATTTGGAAAATAATTTAAATTTATATAGTCTCATGAAATACATTGAATAAAAAATATTCAGAATATCGTGCTTCTCACAAAATTTGAAAATCTGATTTCCTTTCATAATGATTTATGGAAATGAAATTGTGTTATTTGTGTCTATCTAATCCATTAATTTTTTTATTCTTTCTTTACAGGTATTGGAATGGATGATTCCTTTGTCCTTTTAGCAGCATGGCGTCGAACGGACACAAAACTGAGCGTCGTGGATCGTCTGGGTGACACGTACGCTGAAGCAGCTGTTTCTGTCACAATCACCTCTCTCACGAATTTCATAAGTTTCTGGATTGGTGCCATCACACCATTTCCATCTGTAAGAATCTTTTGCATCTACACAGCAACAGCAGTACTCTTCACTTACATCTACCAGGTGACATTCTTCGGTGGTTGCATGGCTATCTCAGGGAATGCCGAAAAGAGACGACTTCATGCAATGTTCTGTGTCCCTACTATGCCCAAATCTCTTGCAGGTTAGTTACTTCGTGTAAGAATCATGAATTATTTTGTTTACATAGTTGGGAACAAGTCTAGATAGAAATATTTATTGCATAGACGCATATTTCAAAGACACACATGATTCCGTCCGTGGATGTTAAGCTTTATTTATAAATAGGAAAGAAATAAATGTTATGTGGTAAAGGTAGTCACATTGTTCATTGTTTCAATGGACTTTAGTGTATTATTTATACCAAGTAGCCAAATTTCCAGCATTTAAAAAAAAAATTATCGCCAGTTTATAAATATCTATGCTAGTTTCGCAAGAGCCAAATTAGAAAGTACGCTACTTTTAAAATCTTCATTTCTGTAAATTAGTTTATCCTCTTTCTGTACTTTTCTGGATAAAATCTATTAAATATTTTCTGGATTTCTGTATAAACTTGATTTTCTACGGAAAAATGGATTGCAAGAATTATGCATGTAAACGGAAAAATGGTGTCCATTTAGTTTTGACACAGTTAAAAAAAATCATATAAAATAAAAAAAAAAAAAGAAAAATAAGTAATCTTTAGGTTTGCACCTAAAAATTATCTTAGAAACGGACTTGTTTTGGAGGAGAGGGGCAAAAGTTACATTATAGTTCAAAATTTTATTGATACAAAGCACTGCTAGTATAACACTATGAGAATAGAACGAGAAAAACTAAGATTCTATGGCATTTATTTGTTTGCATTGGTGATCATACTACTAATTATATAATTTTCCAACGAGTGCTCTCAAGTGCACATTTTGTTTTAGAAAATTTTAATTAACCTATTTTTAATATTAAAAGTGCAGTGCCGTCTAGCGATATACATTTGAAGTAAAATTAAGCCTGAAGAAAAGTTCTGCCACTGGGCAATTTGCTTACTTTATATAACTTTTATTTGACGTGTTCAAACATATGGCATGCCCTGAATATATATTTATATCTGATTACAACAAAATATGATGATTTGTCTAGTTTAGCGCTTTTGCTTTCGACTGTTACTCGTATATAGATGAGTAAGATTGCCCATACACATCGCAATTTTTCTTGCACAAGCTGATATTTATGGTTCAGTTTCACTGAAATGGTGAAATCTGGGTTCTGTGTTAAATGAACCCTTCTACTAAACGTCAGTAAAGGTAATTATAAATTTTAGTGTTAAAATGTTGAAGGATATTTAAGTTAAGTTTCGAAAGTTTCAATTGACGTAAAATGAGCGGATTACGGTTTCGAATTTTGAATTTTTTTCAGGACTCGAGTGCTCCATTTTTACAATTTACAAAAATTAAATGGGAGTTAAAGAAAGTGCTATGCTTCTATCGGAAAACTACTTGAACAACAAAGTGTTTTTAAACTGCCAAATTTTCATTTAAATCTACCTGGCGTCTGCGTATATTCATACTACATACAAGCATAACGAAAACACTGGAAACCGGAATAAATATTATTTTAAGATGAGAATGACTATTAGAGAATTCATTCAGTAGTATTCTTTAAAAGCGTAACACAAAACTAAAGGCAGATGTACCTAAAATTGCATGGGTTATAAATAAAGTTCTGCTTCATGGAGTAAAAACGACTCCTTTACCTCTTGAATACTATCGTTAACCTCGCTTTGTTTAGTTAAGTAGGTTTTGGGACCTTAACAGAATGACCTGTCTTGTCAACTCGGTCACATGACTCGCACTGAATTTTTTTTATGCCAGAACTGTTTTTTATTTTGCTCGTGCTTTCCATGCTTAAAAGAAATTTATTTAAAAAAATTAACCATCACAAAAGTCGAATAAAAATATTTTCGCTTTCCGTTCGATCTTTTGTTATCCATTTTAATACAATTTTCTCGAAACTACGTCAAGATCATCTCGAAACTACGTCAACATCTATCATAGTTCGGATGGATTGGACTGGTTTATAGAAGAATGTATATAAGAAGTTTCCAGATGACAAGCTGGTGTTAAAGCTTTTCTAAACAGAAGATATATGTCTATTAGGTTAGTTATTTCAACTGTACAATCAAATAACCCAAAAAGTCAGAAATCTAATTTTTGGAGCTTCAAAATAGCACTCAAAAGATGTACTGTACTCACTTTTCCCCCGCATATGAATTCTCCTCATTCCCTCGCCCGAGAAATTTAATTGCATGAGTGAATCGAAAAATACATATATTCTTAACATTTAGCAAATTTAGTAAGTTTTAAACATATTTACCCTAAAATTCCATTTTAAACGTTTAGCTGCCAAGATCAGAAATCTTTGAATTTTCAATCCACTGATCGATCTGTTGCCGTTTGATAACTGAAAGTATCGATATACACTAATGCCAATGCAAAGTCTCCTCTCCTGCACCAATGGCCAAAGGAATAAGACTGCTAAACACTGGAAGTTTGACCTTGGTTCAAATCCCAGCGAATGGTTCGGCTGCATGGCCTTTTTCTACTCCCTCGCCTATTATAAGGTGAATATTATCCAATTTTCTCCGAATGTCCTCCACCAGGGCATCCCTTCTCTTAGGCAGAGCGTGTTCTAGCGTATTTTGTCGTAATTAAAATAATTAATCTTCTACTCACGTGACCAGAAGACAAAATTTCAACCCTTTTTTTTTTCTTTGTTTGTTTGCTTTAGCTAAGACAGTCCCTTCCCAGGGGGTCGATGTAGAGAACTCTGCGAAGCAACTGGCTAGGATATGTACCTAGGTAGTCTCGGCTACAGAGGTATAAAATTTATGAACCTAGTGGTTCGGGAGGCCCCGGAAAGGTCACTCATTGGCAGGCTCGGTGGTCTGGCGAGTCCTAGAGCGGTGTGACTGTAGTATTTCGAGGCAAGGGTAGCGTCCTCGAGTTGGCTGGATAATGTCCCATTGCGACGGGCAGCCCGATAGGCAGATGGCAAATTGATGGCCAGTGTCGCTTTAAGCGATGCGTCCTTCTCTCCAAGGTGCGAGGGTGGAGGTTGAACTTCTGTGCCTGGTTCTAAGGGGGGGGGGAAGAACTCATTATGCGGTTCAGTCTCGCGGTGTGAGGAAGCCCTATATGTCTTAGCTAATACAGCCTGAATTTTTGTAGATTTTGGCAAAGGCATACTATGGATGTCCCACTTAAAAGGAAGGATGCCTTCGTTGAACTCTGTCTAAGAAATTATCTCAAATTCACATTACACATGCGGCCATGCAAAACACAACCTGATCATACATCCTGGACAATAAGGTACTGGTTATGTCAGTTAGGTAACTGTTAAAATTGGTTAACGAATATGTACTAATATGCGTTCTGCATTCACCTACTGAGTAGTGAATTCTGCATCCTAGAAAAGTTTTAAAAGTTTAGTTAAATTACATTTGATTAGCTAGTTCTACCAAAATGCAAACCAAAGACTTATTTAATAGATTTATTTTAGATCCTTGTATAACTTCGTAAGTTGTCTCTTTTAATGCTGTAAGTGGTCATTTTAAGTCGTTCAATAAGAATTATGTTGCTTATAAAGTGTTTTCATCTCTTCATAAGTTTTCCCGCTTAAGAAGATCCTTGTAAAACTTATTGAGAAGGTCCTGTTGCATGTGATTACAGAAAAAGCATGCTAAAGGTCTTTGCGTGCAAGTCGGAACGCCATCGTGAAGGATTTTAAAGGAAAGTATCTTGGCCTTACTTTACATATGAGAAAAATTACCATTCAACAGCCGAAAAGAGAACCCATGACGGACTTTCTGTAGCTTTGGCCGCTAGACATTGTCAGTTAACATTCGTATTTGATGTCTTCCTACCAATTCACCAAACTTCTTCCATGCGTAAAAATATCTAATTTTTATTTAAAGCTTTGAAAAGAGGGTCGGATGTGCGGCAGATCGTTAAATGATTTCGCAACACTTGTTAATCACTTACAGTGGAACAGATCACGACACGAAAGAAAGAAAACGTAATCGGAGCCTTTAATTCATTTAAATTCTTTTTTGTTTTCTTTGCAGGGTAAATAGCAAATAGAAAGTGTTTTCTGCTTCTTGCAAGTGGTCTACTTCGGAAGGACCTACTTTTTTGGGTCATGAGGTCAATCGGAGAAAGTACTACCGTTCCATTTCGAACGCTGTTTCTGTTTACCCTCAAGGGGTTCCCTACCCGTGATTTGACGGTAGTTATTCCCCTTTCTTCCTCAAATGGTGGTGGGGTTGGGAAAGTAAATTGGGTGATATCGACTTCTGGTTCATTCGCGTTGTTTAATTTGCTTCATATAATGGTACTTTATAGCAGCCTTAATTTATTCAAAGTGTCGATTATGTCTCCACTTTGTTGGACCTTATTAATTTCAATTGCAGTGTTTGCCGGTTATGACCGCTAGTTCCCATTTTTTCCGCATTGCTATTTGATATAACCTAAACTTTGTTTCATGCTGTCCTTAACGAATACTTTTTTTAAATTCATTTTTTATCTCCTTAACTTTGAAGCTTTAGTTTCTACTAAATTCCGTTTCTTCAATCACTGCCATTATATGTAAGAGTTTGCGTTCTTAATCATCGCCACAAGGTATTTTCTGCTTTAGAAAGATAATTTTTGCAGAAGACCTATCGCATTAATATTTCTTTGCTCTTGTTGAAAAAATTCTCAAATAGATCGTCGTTTGTGCAATGACTACTTTAATTTTGAAATAACATGTAGCCTCCTGTTTTGAGTATATATGAAGAATTTTGTAATGCAGAAATATTGTAATCTAAATTATCAAGTGCATTGGTCATATTTCAAACCTTCTCTATATTCTCAGTAAACGACAAACTTCGACATCAAAGCAGAAGTAGATGTTAGTGTTCTGCTTGCTTCAAAGATTGTGAGGTGCTAGCAGTTGATTCGCTGCATCTCTATCTCACACATGGTAATCACTTCATCATTCCCTTGGGACTCAAAATGTTGCACCAAAAGCACGATCTCAGTTAGTTTCCCAATATCATTAGCACGTTTTCAATTTCGCACCTGGAAACCACTTCATTCTTCTTTTGAGACTCAAGCTATTACACCAAACTCA